CTTTCTTCTTGGGATTCTTCCTCATCATCTTCCATTTTAGCGTCCTGATCCTCCAAAGCCGGCTCTTGGTTCCCCAGAGCTTCGGAAAGTCCCGGGTCATCTTTCCCAAAAGTCGTTCGGCCTTGGAGAGGAAATTGCGTGTCACTCGGTTTGTCGATCTTGATTACCCGCAAGATTGATGCAGTACCATTGGATTCATTTTCAATAAGATCCTTTGTAGGTACAACCATGAATTCTTTTCTCCACATGAATTCAGGGTGAATGGCATAGCCAAGGAATAAACCAGGGCTCGATGTTGGGTCGAAACGAAGTCCCTCTTTGTTCTTCTTTCTAGGACCATTCCAATAGTCAATAAGACAACCGAATGGAATGAGGGGACCATCAAACCTCGATCCAAAACGTAATTCCCATGGTGATTTGTCTCCCCCCGTTGCTATGACATTCTGCATGAAGCACCAATGTCGGGCAGCATGTGGCCAGTGCCAATGATTCAGACCTGCTTGGAGCAGATTGACACGAGTGCCTTCAAGGACTGACCGGACCGCTCTCTCGGCTTGGGCGTTGGACTTGGATATGTAGTCCCTACTTAAAACATGACGGCACTGAAGGATCTTCATTGCTGAGATTAACTCAGGTGCATTGTCACTGTAGAAGACTCCTATCTTATCTTCATGTCCAACAAAGTGTTTAATTGCCAAGATAGCAGCATTGGTGGTTCGTCTGGCATTGGGGTAGACATACATAAATCCTGTTGCTATGTCCTTCACGACGAGTGCACTTTTCTCATCATCGATTCCCAACTCATCTTCATCTCTGGTGACAATAAAATCAGCAGTGATGTGGTCACCAAATTTCTCAGCTTTAACTTTGGTTGATCCGCCTACAGCTCTTGAGGGTGGCTTGAACATCTTAGCTCTGGTGCATATGTCACAAAAAGGATTCTTAGGGATGTGAGTCAGCATGTGTCTAATAGACTTGGCTTCTTCTTTCAATTCTTTCTCCCCTAGTGACCTTTTGTGAGCACCATCATCATGGACATTACTACTGCTACCCTTGGATCCTTCCACAGGCGGCTCAACCTCCCGGTCGGCATCAGGAACATCAACCTCCTCAGCCTCCAAGGGCTGGGGCTCCGGTAAGTCAACGTTAATACCCATGGGGTCATCACCAATGATTTCAATGTCCCCATCGGGCTCCGGAGATTGTTGAGCTTCATCTGATGCCGGGGTGGCAATACTTGGTCTAGGCTGAGTTGATGGAGTGGAAATCGTCTTTGAATTATTTGCAAAGTAGGGTACGTAATCTCTGACAACTAACTCAATGCGTTCCCCATTTGGTTTGACCATGTAAGGAGGTTCACCTTTGGAGCCTCTCCATATGAAGTCGTAACCGTCATCAATGCATCTCATCCCGACTGAAATGACAGGAGGTGAGCTTCGAACAAGATATGGGTCAATGGTCTTGCCTAATTTTGGAACAAATACTTTTCCTTGTTTCGATGACGAACTTTCACCATTGGCAGTAATCATGCGAATGGGATTGTTGGAATAGTATCCATAGTCATCCGGCAATTCACTATCATTGACAAGATCTTGAGCGCTCCCCGTATCTGCAATCCAGTCAAGTTCGAGGTTGATCGCTCCCTTCACGTCTTCTCTACATTCCGCAGGGGTGGCTTTGATTCCCTTTGGGATACATTCGTTGCAACCAAAATCTGTGTCACATAAATAGGCACATTTGCACTCAATTCCCCGAAGACAATTGGAAACAGATCCTGCTAACATGGTACCGGTCAAAGCGGCGTCATTTACAGCAAGTTGATCAACTTCAAACTGATGTCCCCATGGAAAGGTAACCTTATCCTTGGTGACTGCGTTTCCAATTGGCCTCAAGTTCCCTCGGACTTTAACATGAGATACGTCCGGCGAATCATCAAAACGAATCGATGGACAAAATACTCTTGGTTGAGGGATACAAAATGCCTGAGACACGGATGCAAGCATGGATGCAACAAGACAAACTGCGGCAGGAGACGGCTTAGATGAACTGGCCCCGGATCCTTTAGACTTCGGGGATTTCGGGCTCTTGGGGCTCTTAGAGCGGCTAGAGCTTCGGGATCCCTTCCTTTTCGGGTTCTTGGGATTTCTCTTTTTATTTTTGTTTTCGCTACTGGCCGAACGGGCAGGAGTAGCTTGTCTTGGTTTTCCCACTGAACCCTCATGAAGGAATTTGCAATCAGCTCCTCTATCGCAACGTCCCTGTTTCCAAAACTTGCAAATTTTCTTACCTTTCCCCTTTGGTCTGGGAGAACCAGAACGTTCATTTGAGCGACCTCTGGTTTTGCTGGGTTTGCGACTTCTATCACGTGGCTTGGGGACTTCATGCTTGTAAGTACAGTTGTCCTTGCTACAGCCTCCCTTATTCCATGCCACACAATACCCCTTGGGGATGAATCCTGTCTTGCCCTCGACTGCAGGAGCGGAGGGACGACCGGAACCCGAAAGACCTTTGGCAACTCGATCACGATTTGCCTCCAACCTCTCACGGTCAAGGTGGCGTCGCACGGCAGAAACAAGGAAACTGTAGTTCCGTTTTTCGGTTCCTTCATCAGCTCTATGATACTCATTCATGTCATGTTGGATGGCCTTACAATTCTTCACTTGTTTGTAGAAGAGTGTCTCCAATACACTTTCATCAGGAGTTTGGACGATACCAGCCAACACTTGATCCCAGTTCGATATGAAAGACTTCAAATTCTCCCCACGCAATTGGACACTGAACAAATCTTGAAGGGCATAGGTTGCTCCGTGCTTGATGTTGGTACTAAAGTGGTCATGCAACATGAACAACACTTGTCTCCCTCTTACAATCCGTCCAGCGGTGGCTTCAGTCTCTTTGAAGGTATCTACCTTGCGGGCGAAGTCACCAGTGATAATATTGGTGAGTGCAGAAAGTAACTTTGCATCAAGTGTCGCAAACGGCGCAACCTTCCGGAGCGCTTCAAGGGTCTGTTCTTCTTTCCAAGAATCACTAATCCACTTGAAAGCACTGTCGGGATCGGTTGATGCTGCTACAACTGCTTCTCTGGTCTTAATTCTCCAATTGCGATAGGTTTCTGCCAATGGGAATGCTGGGATCTTGATGGTGTCAGCTTCCTTGACCTTGGGTTTGTCATCATGCCTTGGATCAATGTAGCCACCTAGAAACTTGATCATCCTTCGCCTGAACTTCTCATCATCATCATCATCGGGATCATCATCACCGTCATCACCGCCGTCAGGAGGATTGGGACCAGCCCTAGCTTTTCTGGGTGCCTTACGGTTCTTATCCCCTTCAGGTTTATCGATTGGATCAGGTGGTGATGGTGGTCCACCTCCCCCGTTCCCTCCGTTGCCATCTCCTCCATCCCCTGGATCGTTCCCATCAGGCGCATCATCGCCCCCGGGCTCGAAGTACTCCATCTCATCTGGGCCTAGTTCGGTCGGGGCATATTGATTGGTCGGCGCAGGGGAATTGACACTATCCATGGGATGGTTATCTCGGCGTCGATTATTGGCCTCTCCTCCCGAAGGGCGTTCCTCAGCGGAAGACCTTGCAACATCCGACTCCTTCTTCACTTGCACTGGGACTCGATATGATGGATCATGATAAATAATCTCAATACCATCCTTTTCATAAGTATTGGCATCAGGTGAAGTAAAGTTAATCGGCGTTCTTGCAATTGGAGGTCGGGCTACATTGGTTGGAGGTGCTGCGGGTGCAGCCTTGCGGGTCGGTGGAACAAACTCGAAATTTGGAATCTCCGTTGATGTATGGGTTCCGGCTGTCATAGTCATGGCGGCAGTCTCGACAATAGGACTTGGACGAACCTGAGCAAATTGGGAATCGAGCATACTTTGCAGTTTCAGATTGTGTTGCATCTGGGCTTGTACCATGTGTTCAAGCTGTGTAATGCGTTCATTCTGAACCCTTCTCTCTTCCTCAGCTGCTCTTCTCAACTCAAGGATCTCTTGCTCCTTACTTGATAGTGATTGTCGATGGTTAGCATCAATGACACGTTGATATGCCTTAATTTTCTCATTCATCTGAGCTTCACGGAACCTTACGTGTTCATGCGCCTCATGCTGTAAGTTCTCTTTATATTGGGCACCCGCATTTAAAAGTTCTTGTTCTTTGATTCTGATAGCATCCAGGGCCCTCTGACTTTCAATGCCCTCGCGGACTCGCAGAGCTTCCTTCAACTCCTCAGTCTTGGCTGTGTGGACGGCTTCGGCCTGAGCTTCGGTGTGAGCCAACACCTCACGATGACGGAGCTCGGCCGCTGTTTCCACAAGGCTTGTCACTGCAGGATCATGTGAATGGACATGCAAGTTCTGCTCGACAAAATTGACTTGAGGATTATCCATCTGCACATTGTGATGAAATGTATTATGAACATTCATTTGGTTCAACTGGCGAGTCGGCGGCCCACCCTCCCGAGCGGCTTGGGGAACACAACCACGGTGGTTGAAACCCACATGGGAAGGCACAATTGCGTTACCCATGGGTGGGAAGTGGCGGTGTTCCCTTAGGCTTCGTGACTTATCGGAAGATGGTGGGGTGCTTATATCAAAATTAAATGGGGTGTTACTTATAGGCAAGTTACCGGGGTTGGCCATGGCGGCGTCAGAGGACATGCGCCCGGTGCCCTCGGTGGAAGAACCCGAGGGGGCAGACATTGCCTACGAAAGAGAAGTTAGCTTACGGCTGATAACCTGTTTTACAGATTAAACAGCCCAAAAGCCCCAGCAATATACGCTTGTTTTCTTGAGCCAATGCAACACGGTAGAATGAGTGATACATTAGTATATACAGTGAAACTACCCAAAAACAAAAATTGCAATTTCGGAATATACTACAATCCATTCTAAAGAACACCCCCAACAGGACAATCCGATTGCACATCCGAACGTCATGTCTTCATCTCCATCGCCCAGCCCCTCTCAGCACCAGAATCTAGCCTGCATTTCCTGGTGGCGTCAGCGAATGCAATGGCATCAATGCCACATCTAATCCTGCAGCCTAGGACACCTTGTTCTTTTATTCCACGTTGTGGCTTCAACGACTTCATGAACTTTGGGTGTTTTTGAAGAAAAGGTCGCATCTTCTTACCATTGATTCGTTGCACCCTTGGCCCTATCAGGAGTATATATCACTCTTCTCAGCCTGATCTGGGTACGTGGGAAATGCCGTACTATATTAATATACTATTAGAATACAAAATATGGACATATTCGATATTATCAGATATACACATATCATGAAGATCATATCATATAATAGATATTAATAGATAACATGACACAACTGAGTATCCCATGTACGGCACAGGGACTGGCCATCCCCCACAGGATTTTTCAGCAATGCATAGCAACGCCTTCATCTGCTTCCGTCGCCGTGCGCGTAAAGCTTCCAGGTCGTCGTCTGCATCTGCGCCGGCACCGTCCTTGTCCTAAAAAACGACAACGCGTGTACCACATTGGACATGGATGGACATGGGGGGTCCTTGAACGACAGGTTGCAAACTACATGTCACCCACAGTTATGGCCATTGGCTCTGAGGACACTCAGCTGAGGCTGACCCAGATCCTCATCATCTTTCGATTTCATCTCTCCGTTGGCTTCAACCTCAACCATCAGCAGCTCCCATGGCTCTCAACACCGCAATGCCGATGCACAACCGATGAAGGACCCCACACTGTGCAAGCCCAGGACTCCTTGAGCGAACCCCGGTAGAGTATTGGATAGTTTTATCTTCGGAGAAATGCCAACCCCGGATGAATAAATCTGACTGTTGGTTGGGGTGGTTACCCCCAAAATAGCGATTTAAATGACTTTTTTTGGCTTTGGCATCTTGCAACCCTCCAGATCCCTCCAGATCCCTCCAGGGCTCCAGCTTTGTATCCATTGTTGTAGCCTCCATTCCAGCCTTCATTTTCCAACTGCGCTGTTCGATCCTTGATGGCCTTGTCCACAATGCCTGGTGTGGGAAGATCCATGAGCCACTCATGGTCAAAGATGTGCCATGCGTTTCCGGCTGAATCTGGAAAACACATGGGGGTACCTAAAAAAATTGGGATAAACTACAGTAAATCTATCGGTTGAACACTTAAGCTTCATATTTTCCCAGCAAAATTGCCATGTCCAAGCCAACCACTCGGGCTCTGGCTGTCTGCCATCATCCCAGCCACTTGTGAAGTGAAGCCAGTGCTGTGCTCTGACGCCTCGCCAGGGAAAGTCGTGGTGAAATCATGGAGAACATCCTTCGCTGAGGAAATGATGAGGGAACAATGGCGCAAAACCATGGAAGAATGGGGAAGAGTACTTTGAAAGTGTAGGAATCATGGAAATATATGGAAATAATGAGGAAGAATATGGTAAAAATTAGAGATATAACTAGCCAAGACTATGATATTGCATATGATACTGAGATGATCAATGGATTGTTTTGAAACTAGCGTATTACACCCATTTAATGGGGATGTAATGGAGATATGTGTAACGGGGCTATAGAAAGAAATGGAACCAACTGAAATAGCTCGATAATAGGAAAACTGTATATAAAAGAAGTGGAAATGATGCGGAAATACTGGGATATACAGTAACTAGCCAAGACATGATATTGGATACAATACAAATACATGGATTGGTCTGGGAAAATGTTGCGGTTGAAACCATGCTGTTACCCACTGATGGAGCTTTCAAGTGCATTCTTAAGTCATTTTTGGATACCGCAGGATGCCGATAATCCAATACTTTCGACCATTTTTTGTTGGTGATATTTGGGGCTTGTGGCCATCCACTAGGAATCACCAACCATTGTTAAACAGGGACTAAGCTCCAGCACCACCTCACCTTCACAAAAAGTCAAAGCCTCCCACTGGGCCCAGCGGCCTTTTGAGGAGCCAAATGCGGCTTAACAGGTCGTCGTTCAGCTTCGGTGTCATACCTCAGCTCAAAATGGTCGAGCAGCCCAAACTTTCTACATCTTGGACAATTATGGTGTGCATAGACATATCATGTATACATAAATATGTTGCACATGTATGTATGTTAAATATATATATATATAATTATATATACGGTACAGTATTCATCCAGAAATTGATGATTAGTTTTTCCAACATTCGGGATCCCTCCACTACAGTATGCTGCCCTCCATCACCAAAAACAGCAACCAGTTGGGTCCCAGCCTTGCGGTCTTGGCACGGCTGGAAGCCTCAGGGCTGTTCGAAAAATCTCGAGCCAAACCCAGATGTTTATTGTCAGATCAAGCACCAAATTGCCCAGTCTTGTTGCTTCAGGGATAGCGCTTGCACCACTGGGGCATGCACCCAATCTGCCATGGCAACAATGGCAACCCGCAGGCAACCCGCAGAAAGCGGCGACCCAAAAATGGCCAGGAGCTAAAACTGTGTGCTGGGCATTCTTGGAGGCTTGGAGGCCTTTCAATGATCTCTATGGTGATTTCGCTGACAGTCTTGCACTGCACTTGGGGTCGATGCCTCACCTCGGGCAATTGCTCATCCACGTCATGCAAACTGCATGTCATGTTGCACTTGTGGCATTGCTCATTTCTCCTCGACCTATAAAAGGCTGGGGGAAGCCAAGCCGGCAAATCCTGTCCCGTCATCACTCCACATACCTGGCATACCTCTACCAGTGAGGAATATGAGCAATACCTCTACTAGGGCCAGGCCGGGCAAAAAGGCCGATGACTTATCTGACATGAACAGCAACGTTGAGCTGTTAGAATGTCCGACATGTTTCTTCGAGGGAGTTTATACTCATACAGTACATGATATGGGATGATATGGGGACCCAGGCTGCTTTCTGAATCTTCTGAACAAGCCTGGCAAAACTGTGTGGGCCATGAAACTCCCATCTTGAACCACAACTGTTTGGTTGAAGTATAATTCATTGATATGTCGGAGACTCTAAGTTTCAGAACCCGTTTGTCTTCATCGATTTGCCACCTGGAAGTCTAGAGTCGGTGCTCAATGCAGATGTTGAATGATTTTGAGAGAAAAAAGATGATGCATTCCAAGACAAATCTTTAAAATCAGATGAGCGGTTGCCGAAACCCCGATGATTTGTGATTTGTCTTCTATTCTGTCTTCCCTTTCGCCATCTCTTTCACGAACCTTTCCCTTGCAATTTTTTGGGCGCTTGATCTGGGGCCCGGGTTTCTTCCCCAGTGGCGAAATGTCACACTGGCTATGGCGCGCATCTGGCGACAGTCTGCATGTCACGACTGAAGATCCAGGAAACTCAGATGAGAAAAAGGATGGAAGGCGATGCTTTGTCACTTTTAGTTACCCTCTGGTAAACTAACATAGCTATGGAAAATCACCATTATTAATGGGAAAATCCACTATAAATGGCCATTTTCAATAGCTACGTTAAATTACCAGAGGGTAGGTTCAAGACTGCACATCTTTGACTGCTGTGTCTAAAACTTTAAAAAGGCAGGATTTCCAGATATATCTAGGAAAGAGACAAGGTGGGTTCTTGGCCAAGTTTTGTGGCGTTTCCGAAACCCACCCAGTCACTGGCTTTGCAAAAGATCAAAAAATACTACGGCGAGAGCGTTGCCCAGCATTGCCCAGCGTTTGATAAAAAGAGATAGTCACACCAGGTGGCAAACAACATGGATTCCATCGGATGTGTCTGTGAATGCTGTACCCAACAATCTCATAGTTTATCATCTATAATCAGGTGTCTCATTGAAGCGACCATTTTGAAGTATCCTGGTATCCTGCATATTTTTCAAGAACGACGAAACTCATCATTGCTGCCACTTGACCAACGCAGACAAAAGGCAGGCTCTCTAGATCTCAACTTTGGATGGATTCAGACTATCTCAGACTCGCTTCGAAGGGTCTTCCTTGGTCGACAACTGCGGGAGCGGATGGCGGATGGCTGGGCCCAACTCGGAGATGTTCGACCCTCCGGTAAACATGGCCACATGGCTGACATGGCAATGGTAAATACCCTACAAATTGGGAAAATAAATAATCTATGATGACCGGAGGGTAAATGTGCGTTCCCCAACCAGCCCAACCAGGAAACCCAAGTCTGTTCTGCTTTCCGACAGAACTCAAAGTTCCCATCTTGTTGGCATGAATCAAGACCAGATATGAAAACACGAAGCAGTAAAACCAATTGGATTGTGCTGGTAGTATATCCCATGATATCAACTGTTTGGTTAATGGTCGGTTTATTGCCATATTTCACCATATTTCCCAAAATTCAAGTACAGTAGATCCTTACACCATATCACCATATTTCACCATAATTTATCCCCATATCACCATACACAAAACTGGATGTTACATAACGTTACGACGTATGTATCCTGATTCCCTACACCGCTGCAGAACTCCACGCTGAACTGCATTCAGCGCAACTTCCGGGGCCCCCAACTCCGCCCATGGCACCACTGGATTTCGTATCAAAGCGCCGGAACTCAGACATGTGCCTGGGAATTAGGATTAATCAGGATTAATCAGGATTAATCAGGTTTGGGGAGTGAGATGTGGCAACAACGTTCTTGAACATTTGAAGATACGTAAAGATACTTAAATAGTATATGTGTATGTTAGTATATATATATAGGCAATAAGTGTACTATTTATCGTTGCGTAGTTCTTTCCGCTTGAAGCTTGCCCCTTGCTTGTGCTTTCAGACTTCGTAAACGTATCTTTGTCGGCATCCTCGGTCAACGGTGTCGCTCCATGGATGATGTGAATCAGAGTCATCCCGGCCCAACTCACGCCCTCTGGTTCATTGCTGGGTGCAGCACATGTGAGGCAACACGATCCTTATCAGCATATGCTGTGATCAGTGAAGAGCCCGGCAAAAAAAAGCCAGGAGTGTGTGATCAAGGGATGTCGCTTAACGGTATTTGAAATCGGTATTTTTATTAAATTCACACATAGCCTACAAAGCCATGTTTAGATTCAGCTCAGATTATCCGATTCTCCCATCATCCAGTCATTCTTAGATCCATCTCTTATCTCATCGTCACCGCTTGGAACGAAGACCATCGTTTTGCCGCTGCCAAGCTGCAGGAAAAGCAGCACAACTGCTGCAGTCAGCATGCAGCAAAGCCGTTCACGAGATCTGGCCGCTGAAGTTGGATTTCTGAGGAAAATCCCAGGGAAAACCCTGGGAAAACCTGGATGGTCTGGCTGGTGGAGGCTGGTGCCTTCTGCTGAAAAACCTCGAAAACTTGTGGCAGGGGATTCCAGGTTCAAACCGCCAAACCAACTGAGATCGTGTGGCCCGTGTGGGTCTTTTTAAAGGCATATCTACCGACCCCAACCCTGCGATTCTACCTTGAGCCATCTTGAACCTGAGACAGGAAGCAGAATCTCCCCACGACACCCCGGACCCTCGTTGTCGATCTGCCGCTTTGCGCAACTCGGAGGCAGCCTTTCTCAGGATGCAACAGGACCATATTTTGTTGACAACTAAGGATGCCCATGGTGCCAGTCCCACAGTGATCGGAAACCAAGGAACACACTGCCCTGCTATTTGATTTGCAAAGTCCTATTAGAATTGAGATAAATTTGCAAAGTCCCGCGGTCCTGCTTGGTTTCTCGAGACGCTGAGTCAGCTGAATGCTCCTTAGATGGCAAGTTGTGAGTTCACTCTTTGGAGTCCATGACAAGATTGTCTGAAGTAGTGGAGTTGGTACTATTTTCCTGGATGTCCTGGATGCTAGTGTGAGAATCAAAAAGAAAGCCATCTGTATCGCTAGTGTCATCGCAAGACGACTCAGCCAGATCGTCTTGACGAAAAATTCGCGTAGCAGCATCAAACCCATCAACCAAGTGACTATGCTTTCAATGTCATTCCCCTGCTCATGAACGATGGAAGCCTGAGTGCTGAGGCTGCGGGTTCCAAATCTACTGAGGCTCCAAGTTCCAAATTTGCTGATCGATGGGGAAGGTCGTGAAAGTCTTCTACATCTCTGCATGAACAGTAACTCTCAGATCTTGAAAGAGAAGTCCTTGTGACCCCTAAATCCACTGATCGATTTGGAAGCATATTTTATCAGTTTCACCCCGTTGGAGTAGTTTTTAGGTAGATGTAACAAGATTAACAAGTATATAATTAATATAATTAATAGTTCAACTAGAGATCACATTTATGGTCCCTTATGGTCCCTTAAATGGTCCCATATGGTCCCATAGGGCCATCTCCAAGGTGCTAAATCTCGGAAAATCTGGTTCACCTCGTGGACCTGACTTTGAATTCGCCTGGACCGACGTCGTGAGGACATGCCGAACTGGAGAACGTAACGTTGGGGGTGAAGAACCGGAACCTCTTGGCTCGGTTGCAGGGACCAACAAAAAAACATCGGCTCTGAAGCGAATGCTTTAGACATCTTTAGACATCTTTAGACATCTTTAGACATCTTTAGACATCTTTAGACTTTCGACTCTACCCTTACTTCTCTTTAGAATTCATATCAGCAGAACAAAGTCAGCAGAACATCCCTCTGCGAAGTTTTGCTGCCTAATGCCTTCTTCTCGTTCTTGTGCAATCCTTGGATTCTTGCAGATGAAAGATTCTTTGTCAGTCGCTTCACTTCAACCGCTGAATCTCAACAGAAGATCGCTCTTGTACAGAAGGAACGACTCTTTGTGCTTCTGTGGAGGAATCATGGTAATTAGATTGTAAAAAAAAAAAATGTCGAACCATGCATCCGCTACGCTGTTTTTGGATGCACTTTTCCAACACGCAGCTCTAGCCATCCAGCCAGAACCAAGGGCAGCACCGACTGCGAATCACGGCATCCTACAGGATGTTCCGCATGTCAATGCCTTGAAATTCTGAAAACCAAATGAAGCTACAGGAATTAATGTCAACCCCGGATTAATAAACCATGGTTTATTAATTAGGGGGGTACTCCTCCAATAGTCATAATCCAATACTTAAATGGTACTCCCCCAATTAACCAGCCTAAGGGTTTATTAATCCAGGGTTGACATTACAGTAATTATATGTCATAATTGAGTCATAATCATGAATTTGAGAATTACAATGTCGTAGGAGCTGCGGCTTCGAAAACAAGAAGAACTGCAGTCCTGACATTGCGCTTCGTCGTGACCATGCTCGACCTGATGCCAAAGATCATCCGAAAGCTCGACAAGATGCAGGTGGAACAAAATCAGCTCGTTCAATGGCATCGTTCAGAATACAATTTTTTAAAAAGTACAATTTTGCAGATTTTGGGTAACCCCCATTTTCAGAAAAAAAACAAACAAACAAATGCAGGTGGAGCACAGGGTTCCATGCAACTGGAACTGCGCTGAGAGCAATGCATCTGTTTGCGGACAGAGTAAGCTTTCACTCTGCTCGTCACAAACAGGTCGGAATTCT